TTTTTTTTTTTTTTTTTTTTTTTTGTTTATTTATTTATAATAACGAAATATATATTCAAAATATAAACAAACAAACAAAAAAAAATAACGATATTTTGAAATATTTTGAAATATTAGATCATATTTTTAAATACAATACTTCTAATTTAAGGCTTGTTATTAAAATGCATTCTGTACAGTATAAGCATGGGGTTATTTAAAAATCATTTGTCCCATTGTCATTATTAAATCACATGATTCTCCAATTTAGGCATTAAAATAGATATGATTAACAAATCAATTACATCATAAATGTCATGAGATTATATTCGAAATTTTTTTTTTTTTTCCCCAATTATTTTTTTTTATACAGAAATTGTAACATCATTTTAACTTTTTATAAAATATGAGTATTCGATAGTGAACCCCTAATAAATAATCTTTGATATAATTATAAATTCACTATTTTTGCATTCATTTAATTTCACTTTCACAACATTCACAACATTTGTTTATTGATATTATTTATTATTTTTTCAACTTTACATTCATGTATTTTTAGTCAATAGATTATTGTGTCGTTTTTTAATTCCATTTTATTGAGAAAACATTAATTTCATTCGTTCAAAAAACTCTTCTACTGTCATTTTGAGAAACAAAACAGTGAATGTAAAAAAGAGGACACTACCATTATTATGGAAATTCGATAATCTATAATTCCAATTATATGATTCATATAGATTGCAACTATTTGCATGCGATCATCGGTATCTCTCTAAGATTTTCTCATTTTTCTTTGATTCTTTCTATTCTTTCTATTTTCACTTTAAACAAAATTACGAGGTAAAGTTGACATATTATTTAATTAAAAAGTATAATAGGAAAAGTATAATAAGAAGTTAATATTATCATCATATGAATATTATCTAAAACAAAGAGAAATAATGTACTTTTCCAAATTATCCTTTTTTAACATTTAAAATTTTTTAGAATATTTAGATATTAAAGAATACTGTAGATATCATTATCAATCACGATTTGATATTATCAATCATGAATATGGTATTATTGGTAATTTATATTATTTTGATTTTTTTACGTAATGATTATATTTAATTATTTGCACAGTAGTGTTTAATTTTTATTCTTTTTCTTTTTTTTTTCGGTTCGTTTTTTTCGATTTTCCCTTTAACGACTTAGTGATTGATTCTTTGGCTACATTAATCTTAATATGAAACATTGAGACTCTCTCGATTTTGCCCACTCTTCAGCTTTACGATTACTGTGGCATAATAAAGATTTTCCGATGATAAAAGTAATTTATCATGGCTTTCTAGTATACAATCCCTCATACAATCCCTCATACACTCCCTCATACACTCCCTCATACACTCCCTCATACACTCCCTCATACATTCCCTCATACACTCCCTCCGCGTTTCATGCAATTTTCTATGCGCGACCATATGTATATTACATCATCAGGATCATAGATTATCGCATGAAAGCATAAGTAAATTTCGAAAAAGCTATTAATCACATAAATATTACTGTTTGTCTCATTATTTATTCTTCAGTAGATGCAGAAGCGAGGGCGCATCTCGGGAGTTCTGCGTTTCATAATCAGGCAGCAGTTCATGCAAGATGATATCATTTCTTGTGTTTCTGTCGTGATTACACGAGTTCTGATCGGTAGATCGCGTCCCCAGGTTGCTAGATGGGTTATGTAATTCTCGAATTGTCAGGGTGCTGAATTCTCTTTCATCTTCTCAGGAGAAGAGACACTGGTTCTCTAAGTCGACCTTTTACCGTGAAGCTGTGTCGTCACAAACAAAATCACATTTGTTGGTTGGAGTTTGTCAACCGGTTTTCTTAAAGGTTAAAAGGTATAAACAAAAAGACTTACTGTAGTTTAAAATCCTTTAAATGGAAATTTATTATGACTTAATGCAAAACCCTGTTAGTCATTTTTTTTCGCATAAATAAAAACTTTCTTTTTTTAATATACTGATGAACGAATTTATGTATTATCCAGAAATAAGACAACATAATTACGTAATTATCAATGAAATAAATTGTAATTGATTATAAAAGTGCAGAATTATAAGAAACTAAGATGTGAAAAGAAATGGAAATGCAGCAAAAAAAATTCCAATTTAAGAAATTCAATAATATTGTATCGGATCTTTCAATAAAATATTATATAATATGTAGGTATGTGCGTGCTCGATCTTTCAAAGATTATTTGCTGCTCCATATATTTTTTAATATAACTGTAATGGATCAATTATAAAAAATTTGATAATATATTCTAATGTGATGTGATGTGATTAAAAGATTGAAAAGATGTAATGCAGAAGTATTGATTTTTTTTTTTGCGTCGCAGAAAAAGCATATGTAAGCACTGCCTGCCTGTTGTTAAGAAAATCTGGAATAAGGAGTCAACTCATTTCCCCAGAGATATGAAATCGATAAATCGGTAAAATGCCAGTATACTGTATATCATGGCGGTTGACTATGTATAGTTATATTTTTGATTTGATTATTTTAAACTTCTTGCATTAATATGTACGAATGCATATTTTAGTCTATCTTGGTTCTAGGATGTAAGTGTCTCTCGCTCGATTTACAGCACGTGATCGTAATTGTCTGATAAAACAAATTGTCATTTTTACCACTTTTGATAATACCTCAACCTCAATGTTATTAAGTATCGTGGTAAGATAAACTGTACCAATATACCTATCATTTGTGATATTAGCTTTTGGGGAGCCACTCAAAAAATTTTAGATTTTCGATTTTCGGCTGGTGATTTACAAAAAAGACACTCAATACTAACTACAAGACATAGCAAGCGTTAAATAGGAAAATGCTTTTTAAAACAAGTTAATTGTATTGTTTTTATTTTATTGAACGGGAACTTGAATACACCAACTACCCTTGTAAATCGCCGTGTTTGTAGTGAGACTGACTGTCATATCTTTTGATTGGGCTTTGGGACTTGTAGACTTATATATGGGAACGTAATTATTCCAGATGATTCGGCATTTAGGCGACGTAATGGTGAGATTTATTACACCAAATTTTTATGTTAAATAGTATTACGCCGAATTGATGTAATATTTCGGTATGGCTTGAACCCCATGTATATTGTGGACTATGAAAGATAGATATTAATACAATCTGGATCGGATATTTTCCTTGTTTGCATGTGAATAGAACATTATTTGGTACAAGTACCGGAACTTCTGTTTTAGGAATATAAACGGTCACCAGTAATATAAAGTTTAGAAACTTTTAAATTAAAAGGTTGAAAGACAAATAAATATTATATTAAGAAACAAGTTTGATTGAGGATATAGTAATTAATAATTATACAATAAAAAGAGTATCAGAATTCATGATAATTTACAATTTTTTTTTTATGAAATTAATGAATAAATTCGCATCTTTTTTTTTTTCGGACAAATGGATTACCTAAATGATTTTAGTTTTCAAAAATTCTAGAAATTAAGATAAAAATACCATCCATCCATAAATCAGTTTTTTTAAAATTTTTCATAAAATGTTCTCATTTATATATATTCATATTACCGAAAATGAGGGAATACTCGCAACACTGGGCAGAATTATATTTGGTTTTGATCATTACATTCACCAGCATTAATAATGTTATAATTGTAAACTTGTAAATAGATTAATGGTCATCTAAAATAATAATACAACCTGTTAAAAATTCGATGTAAAGAAGCATTAGAACGAACAACTCGTAAATTGCAATAGAAATTATTCAAAAGACTTAATACATAATTTTAGTATATAAAAATAATAATTCGTAAAAAAAAATATACAATTGACAGGGAAAAAAGAAAGAAATATATATATATATAAGAAAAAAAAATATTCATATGTCAATTTTAACAGCATAAGAACAAGAACTTAACAAAAAAAGAAAAGAAAAGAAAAAAGAAAAAAGAAAAAGAAAAAAAAAAGAAAAAAGATAAATAAACATATTGGACATTTTGATAAAACGTGTCTTAATTATAAAAAATTATTAAAACAATTAAATCAACTTATTTAACTTAACATCGATATATTATTCTCATCGATATTATTCTCATAATCTTTTAGAAATTCATCTATCGTGAATTCTTAATTATAATATGAATTTGATTTATTATTGCTCGTTAATCATAAGTTTAACAGTAAAAAAAAAAATTAACTTACTTTCTTCAGAGGTCATTTGAATTGGAAGATAAATCTTCGGGAGAATACGACTAGTTAAAGATACAGAAGGATGTAATTCTTCTGAATATGGTTTAATAAGAGATGGATTTTTTTGTCTTTTCTGTTCGGCTAAATTAAATTGATCCCATATGTCTTTGTCATCGCATTTTGTTTCACATTTTCCACAAATAATTTGGAGCCATTTTTCTAAAGTATCGGCCAAAGAGTGAGCTGTGGGACGGTTAGCTAGTTTAGAATCCCAACATTGTTTCATCAATCGAACGTAGCAACCCGGTGTATCTTTAATCACTTTTGGTCTCAAACCACCATGAATCGTTATTGCTAAATCACAATTATGTTCTATAGTACCAAAAGGAGATTGATAAGAGGTAAACTCCCACATTATGATGCCGAAACTATAAACATCCGCGGCTCTCGTGTAAGGTTGACGGCAAAGTACCTCCGGTGCAACGTACGGCAAGACACCCTTAGAATCATCCTCTTGAGCTTGGCCATCTTTACATGCTAACCCAAAGTCAGCAATGAAGCTACGTCTATCACTTCCAAAAAGCACTTTTCCGCTGTGTAGATCCCGATGCACGAGGTCTGCCCGATGTAGGGTACGAAGGTCAATTGCAATGCTCCAAAGTCTATCAATACGATTTACCCGGCTATTGGTTACAGAATTGGAGTAAATGTATTTTCGTTAATCACCTTCCTCGAAATATCTCATGACAATTAGGTACTTACTTGTGTCAGGAAGTCGTGAGATTCCATAAAAAATCTAAAAAGTACATATCATTCTTTAGACATCTGTTCATAGCTTTGGCCTCTTTAAGAAAAGCAGCAGTACTTCCTTCCTCTTCATCTATACTTTTCAAAGCGACCCACATTGGTCCACTTCTTTCCCATTTATTTTCAATAAAGTCACGCTTATAAATACGTCCTTTTTCCCAATAAGCCTTAGAAACAGTACCATATCCACCTTGACCAATCTCCGTAAATTTTGTAAGGTGAGACTCGGGGATCCATTCTAAGACTTGCTCGGGAAATTCGGCGCTTGTTTATACTTCACGAATAAAGGTTCAATATCAGTATCGTCACTTGTCCAATTTTTAAATTCAGATTCGAAATGATCTGAATAACAGCCCCGGCACCAACGGGAGGACATCCATTCTCGGTTGCATAAGGAGCATCGTACTTCTAATTTTTCAATTACTGCATAATCTTGCGTTTCATGATCACGCGTTATTCCATAAACCAACCGTTTTGACGGATTGATTTTGGAAATATCATGTTCCTAAATTAAAGGGTGAAATGAACGACACTATATATAGATAAGAATGATTTTCGGTCAAAAAAAAAAAAGGCTCTTTACCGATTTAAGGAAATGTGAAGTTAAATATTTTTCACAATATTGAGATACCAGCTTAACCTGCGATCCCATTTGTTTTTTCCTGCATTCCAGCCTATCAAATGCCCATCTTTCCAATAAGCTGTTTTATTTTTAGAAAATTCGATATTTTGGATTTTCGTAAATTCCGAAGGGTCAACCCATTGCTCATTGTTTCTAAATTAATAGTCATGGGGCGATGTGTGAGAAAACTAATTGTTACTGAATTGGGATAAAACATAATCGATATATCTCATTACACTACCGCCCCCTAACGTTGTGAAATGGTTCATAAACCTAAACAGAATCTCGGTGGGAATATTTCATGAATATAAGCACTTTATAAATGCCAAATATAGCTTATCGGTTCAAATCTTGTTTCCTATCTTTACCAATAATAGACTGATTTAAATTCAAGTTGATGAGCATAAGCGTTTTGCAACAATAGTTTATTGAAGCAGAGAACATTTTTATCCTGGTCTTTGACAAAAACGATGGTTAATAAACGTGTCGTTGTGGTTGGCGCAGGTGGGAAAGAATATTTAAACGCCTTAATTTTCTGCTCTCTGACTTAAAAAATCAATCCAATACTATGCAGGCGTTTCAGGATTATCCACGGCAACTTTGCTTTTACAACAAGAAAAGGAAATTAAAGTTCATTTGGTTGCAAACCATTTTCCAGAAGATTTATCAGGCGAATACACAAGTCCTTGGTATGTTGTGAATGTTTTATACCATATTGGAATTCTTTAAAGGTTAATATTATAGTTGGGTGCCGAAACATTTCGACATATGCAATTGCCGAAACTATTGCCGAAATCCTAAACTATTAGACCATTACTAAATCTAGATTTAGGTTAAATTTTCAGTAAAATTAGGATTTTGGAAATGGCTTAGGATATTAGCAATGGGTTTAGGTTTTCAGATTTGGCAACTATATAAACTAAAAGCTGAACTATTTTCAGTATATGGTCAATAAGTTTCGGCATATGAAGAGTTTTGGCACCCAACTATAGAAGATATAGTTTTGTTATAGGTCTGGTGCATATTGGAGGAATTACGCTACGGAGGATGATATTAGAAGGTATGAGATAAACTTCATTTATACCATCATTTTGGGACTGGTGTTATGATTATCTAAAGAATATGATAAGGAAACATTTAATTATTTTTGGAGACTTGCCAAGACAGAGCAAGATAAAACGGGAATTATGATTATTGATGGAATTGACTATTGGGAACAATTTTCGCAAGAATTCTCTGACCTTTGATTCAAGACATTATATCCCGAGGCAAACAAATCTGTAATTAAAAATCATGATTTAAAATTTATTTATTATGAAACAGTTCCGAAATTTAAATAAAGAAGAGCTCCCAACTGGGATTGAGTGTGGTGTCACCTATAAAACAGATAATTTAACGCGTAAAAAAAACAACTTTTTATTAACATAAACCTAATTTCTAGGATTTTTATTAATCGAAAACTAATCTCTAGTTACTATTAATCCATCAGCCTATCTTAATTACCTTCTTAATACTTTTATTTCTTTGGGTGGTACTACGCAACACGTTAGTTTATCCCATTTAAATGAGTGTATCGAAAGTGACACCGATGTTGTAATCAATTGTTCAGGCATTCATGCTGGAACATTAGGATGTGTAGAAGATCCCGAAGTTTACCCAGCAAGAGGTCAAACTGTAATTGTACAATTGCCTCAAGAATACGTAAATTGGGCTTTTTTCAGACATTGTGCTGGAAGTAGTAATACATGTTTGTGTGAAATTTCCTCATCGTTCTTTTTTTTTTTCCTTAAGGTCAAATTTAAATTTATACAGCATATATATTCTCTAATACATAATTTCAAAAAAGGGAGTGATAATATGACATATGTGATACCACGCGAAAATGGAGAAGTAGTTCTAGGAGGGACTTTTGTAGGTGTTTGTTTTTGTCTTTTGAAACTTTTCAGAAATTTATAATTTATTTTTCTGATTATAGAATGAACATAACTAGTAAGATAATTAATATTTATTTGAAAGGCTCAAAATATATTTAAGTATAAATTAAATTCAAATTTTAGTTCAACAGATGTTGATGATAACATAGCTGAAGCAATTATTCAACGATGTCTTGCTACTCGTCCGGATCTCTTGCCACCGGGCTAAACTCAACTAACCATCAAGAGGAACGCAGTCGGACTCCGACCTTGCCGCAAAAGTGGTACAAGGGTCGAGGGCGAATGGATAAGTGTGTATATTTTCTTGAAAGAGTAAAACTATGTTATGCTATGCATTTATCTCGGTTTTTTTTTTTATTTAGCTTCTGAAAAGTTTGATAAAAAAATTCTCATTTGTCATAATTATGTTCATGGAGGTGAAGTATTATGTACTTTCCTTTTACTTTTGATAGCGTTTTTTTAACTATTTTTTTTTTTGATTTTATTACAATTTTATAAAGGGTTTCAGTCAAGTTATGGAACCGCTAAACACGTGATCGAGATTATGGAAGAAATGCTAGAAAAGCAAGAAAACGAGTCTAATAAATGTTGAAGTTAGCAACAATCATGATAATAAATCAATATCTCTCATTTCCGCTATTATTCTCTCATCTTTATTAATTGAGAATTTAATTAAATCACATTTACAGTATCTTTGAGATAGACTTAATATTGAATAAATGTTTAATCTTGCAGAAAACTTTTGAACTTTTGAACTTCATATTTATTTTTTTCAATCAGCGTACATTGTTCATAGTAGAATATATATAGGTCTCTTCATCAAGGTGAAAAGGATAAATCTCGGGTATCTGATTTCAGAAATTCAATAGAAAAAGAAAAGGAAATGATTATATATATGACTCATGAATTCAAAAATGTTAAAAATGTTGAAAAATACTAAAGAGATGTTGTGTTTTGTTTAATTTGAACAGTTCAATTTCTTATGATCATTACTTTGCCACCAAAGGAAAATATTAAACGCATGAATAAATTGAATGCCGCGATTGTAATGCACTTTCCATCTCTAAAACATTCCACTCTAATTTATACAAAATCTTTTATCTTCTTTATTTAACTAGAGATTTAACGGATATATTTGAAATATACTCGTCTAAGAGATACGTAAAATGCTTATCTTCCTCACAGAAAATTTTTATCCCGCTTCAAATAAATCAAATGCAATTTGAAGTGACCGGGGAGAAATTTCTTTCCAACAAAACAACTCTTAATATTATGGCATTTTGTAAATATAGATTTAAATACAAAAGAGGAAGAAGCTGTGTTGAGAGATGGTCGAAAAATATCCATTATGGTGCGATCAATGAGTCGTAAGATAATTTATTTAACAGATTTTCTCTTTGCAATAGGGCATAAACATAAAGTTGTCACTAAGAGGTATTTTATTAAAAATGAATATTTCTCTTATAATAATTAAATTATCCATTGTTATTTTTCACATACTTTGATTTTATCCGGTAATAAAAAAAAATTAGTAAAATATTACATTGATGAGAAAAATAAAACAAATAAAAACCAAACCATACTCAACGTTAAACCTCCCAACGGTCAGTTGAAAGCATTACATTAAGAAAAACCTATAGCTTGTTCATATACTGTTAATGCAATTTTCTTCGTTTTTTCATTTATTTAAAAAATGTTTGTATGAATTAATTATAAGACAAAATAAAACTATAAGCAAATATATAAATTTTTGGTTAAAATATTCATTTATTTGTAGCTGAAACTTGTTCCAAGATATTTGATGTTCTATAATAATTAATTCTTGTAAAAAAAAAATAAATTTCACTTTGATTTTGTCATAAAGAAAGACTGAAAATTTTAATCCTCGATCGAAATTTTATGTGAAGCGCCACGATGTCTTTGTAAACGCTCTCCTAAACCAATTGAAGAGTGTGAAGAATACGCACACTTATAAGCATTCCTACAAAAAATAAATCGATGTTAATAAGTGTAATTAATATATTCCTCACTCAAACATAAATATTTACTTTAAAAAGTCGGATTGCGTCCCGTTTTCTTGTGATCGCTTTTTATCCTCTGCCAATTTCCTTTCTTCCTCTTCCTCTTCTTTAATGGCTTGTTCTAAACGACTCTTTCGCTCTTCAGTAACTTTTTTTGCATCTTCCATCATTTCAAGAAGTTTTCTTTCAGCTTCTTCTTTTTCCTTAATTTTATCTCTTTCACTTCGTCCATTATGTTCTTTTCGTTCTTTATAGTCTCTGTTATGTGAATAATTATTATATTTACGATTATTTCGATTATACTCTTCTCGTCTACTAGGTGATGATGGTGATCTAGGCCTTCTGGGAGAATAACTACGAGGATTATATCTACTTTCACGATCATTTCTTCCTTCCCGATTTCGATCATATGTGTCACGATCTCTATTTGAATATCGAGACTCATGTCGTCCTTCATGTGAATTTCGATCCCTCATTGTACCATTTGAATATTTGGACTCATATCGATGTCTATCATCATATCTGTCCCTTGAACGAGAACGAGACCGTGATAAACTTCGTAAGCGAGGTCGCTTTTGAGATCGACCATTCCTATCTTGTTCTCTTAACCTCATTATGCTTTCTTCTTCAGAACCTGATAGAGGCCTCTTTTTGTCTTTTTTACTCTTTTCTTTATGATCCGAAGATGAATCTTTATTCCATTTGTTACTTGATTTCTTTTTTTCTTTTTTACTCTTTTTCTTTTCTAATTTCTAATAAAATCATGTATAAAAGGGAGTTAGTTTATATTGTTATAATTCATTATTGTTAAGCAAATTATTAGTTATCTCACTTCTTGAATTTCTTTCATTTTAAGTGGGTTTGAAACGATGGACTTTATGTTGGCTTGCTCAGTTTTCTTAATAAGAAATAATGGATCTTCTCGAATTTTTGATTGAGTATCTCGGTAATTATTAGCATTAGGATTACTGATACTACTAAAGATTTCTTTTGAATCAGCAGACAACTATAAAAAAAAAATTTAATTTATATTAATAAGTTGCATTTAAAATATATAAATTTAAATAAAGTAAATAAAATGAGATATACTTTATCAATAGAAGTGCCTTGTTCTATAAGAGAATCAATACGTTTTTTTCCAAGTAAATAATCTTCCAATTCTTGGGCTTTTGCTGAGCTAGATTGATTAGGTCCAGCAGCGTACATCCAATCTAATCTTTCCTGCCCTTTTCTATAATTAAAAGGTGATTAATATTTATTACAGTCAGCCAGAATTTTTATCAAGAAATAAGCTTACCTTCCCCCAGCAGATTCTTGGATTTGCCTCAATTCTTGTAACTGTCTTTCTTCTTCTTTCTCTTTTTTGAGTTGGTTAAGTTTCTTCTGCTCTTCTGATGCTTTTTGTTCTTCCTTCCATACCCGCTCTTGATTTTTGATCAAGAGGGGATGCCAGGATTTTTTCATATTCTACATTATAGAAGTTAGATAAATAAGTAAGAGATTATCGCACTAATAAACTAGATAAATAGGTAAATATAAAGTTGCTTACCAAGTCGCCTCCTCCCATTTTGACGTTATTTCAGGGTTTGTAATAGCTAGTAATTAAATTGTATACGAAAGATTGACTTTGACTCTGACTTCTGGATATATCATTGATATACATTTATATATATTTTACAAATCACAAAATTCTAACCAATTATGTATCAAATAGTGGAAATTTACGCTACTCAGCCCTGCAAAATCCGAACATATGCGCGAGAAATATGTTTCCTAAAAAAGACATCTATATTATAAATTTGGTGTTAGTATAAACTCTAATTCCTTTTTTGGAATTTAAGTATTTAAATTATGCCATAAAAGGAAAGTCTGAAAGTCAAGTTTTACCAAAGTTTTTAGAGTACACTTACTCATCATTCAATATACCTCGTTTATTACTAATAGTAAAAATAGTGAGACAGATGAGACAAAGATCAGGAGATACTAGACGGTAATAACCAACGTCCCAACGTATTCTATTCTAATACGAGAAAGGTGATTTGCCCAAAACTAGGATAGTGAAATAGTGAAATGATCAATTTAGCAATTAATTTATCTTATTACCATAAAAGGTTTGTTTTCGATATAACAACATCTGTGAAACATTGAACCGAGTAATATAAAACGGGTCAATGATTTGTTGACAATAACAGAATATTGAATTTTACGTATTTTTTTCAGTCTAACGGTTAGATTTGACATTATTTCACTACTGATAATATCTTATAGCTCAATAGCGATCAGATAATACACGATTTTCGTCCACTATTTATAAAGATTTGACAACAATTATTTATTTATTTACATAATAAACTTTACATACGCAAGAAGTAAGCGGGATTTCTGTGAATATGGATGCAAGTAAAGCGACAGGAGCGAGCGTACTCCCGATTGCGCGCGTAAAGCGCATTATAAAATTAGACGAGGAAATAACAACAATTGGTACAGATTCGACATTTTTAATAGCGATTGCAGCGGTAAATGACCTGTACATTATCTATCATATTTATACTTTTTGAAAGAGGAAAAGTTATGCTTAGATAAAAAAAATTCAATGTTTTCTCATTCCTTACTTTTTTATATAATATAATTAGGAACTTTTCGTAGATTATTTTGTAAAAAAAGGATCTGATCAAATCAAATCTGAAAGAAGAAAGACTATCCGGTACGAAGATATGGGTAAGTGTGAATCTCAAGATGCTTGATGCTTTTATATTGTTAATTATATATGCGAATAGTTATTCTAAATAATTTTATTTTTTTAAAATAAAAATAATGAATATTATCAATTGTTGATATAATAAGCCAACATAGTTAAAGAGAATGAAAATCTAGAATTTTTACAAGGTACTGCAATTCAAATGAAATAAACGAAAAAACTATTATTATTTTGAACAAAAAGATAATCAAGAAGGATATTAATGATTTATTTCCGTAGACATTGTGCCACAACCTCAAACATTTGAAGAATATCTCGAAACCCGTAATCGAAGAAAAAAGAAACGAAAAGCCAAAGTGATTGATGAAGACGGTAGCGGAGAAGAGGTTGATGATAACGAAGAAGATAGTGAAGATGAAAACAGCGATGAGATTGGAGAAAATGGGAATAATTCTAGTGATTTAGAAAATAGTCAGTCAAATGAGGAAATTAGTGATACAGACACTATAAATGAAAATAATAGTGATGTTGGAGATAGTAATGAAAATAATAGCGAGGACGAAGTAGAAAATGAATCTGAAGTAGAGAATGGAATAAACTCACAAGAAGAAAATAGCGATGCTGAAACTTCAATGAACGGTGATAACAATCATCGAAAACGTAACAGGAAGAATGTTGCTATGAATAACGGCGTTTCATCAGACAGTGAACTTAGTGATGCTCCTGAAACTTCAAGTGACAATTCAACTGTATTAAACGACGAAAATGAATAAATGTTATTAAATAATTATAAATTTTCTATAATTTCAATTTTATTTTAAGTTTTTATACTGCGGTAAAATGTAGTAATTCCGGCCAAAATTTTAATAACTTTAATGTTGGTAGTTACACTTGATTATGTTGAGGCGTCAAACTAGATTCGATCGCCGCATGAAAAGAATTTATACGTCATTTAATACTATAAGTGGTTTAGTATCACTTCATATTTATACGCCCGTCTCCTTTATCTTTCAAAATTTGTTTGAACTGTATTATCGTTTTGTTAACCTACAACATGGCATCCTCTCCTACGCAAAAAAATTTTGAAGCAACCTCCCGGCTACAAATGAAGGAACAGACAATTGACGAGATGTATGGTGTACCAGAGAACTTTCTGGAGATCGAAGTGAGGAATCCACAAACTCACGGTATGAGTATCAAAGCAACACCAACAAGCTAATGGAAATGTTGCGTGGCTTCACTCGCTAAATTTTTTGTCGATATCAATAGGTTTTGGTCGCAAAATGTTTACTGACTATGAGATTGTTTGTAGAGTGAGTTTTATAGCGCGATTTGACCGTTTTTGTTTATGCTAATGTTTAACTAGGTTTAAATGCTTCACAAACGATTTGCGGAATAACTTGGTACTTAATAATTATAGTTTCCTCTTATCCTTTTTATTTTTTAATTCATTTTCTTTCAAAATATAGACGAATATTCCCGCCTTTAAGTTAAAAACCTCTTCAGTTCGAAGAAGATACAGTGATTTTGAATGGTTCCGTGACGTTCTTGAACGTGAATCTTCAAGAGTAAACATTCCTCCTTTGCCAGGCAAAGTCTTCACTAACCGTTTTTCGGATGAAGTTATTGAAGCTCGCCGGGAAGGACTTGAAAGATTTTTACAAATGTGGGTTTCATTATTCCTGATTCATACGATCTCTAGTTCCTTATCCAAGTTGTTTAGTTCTTAATTTATTTTGATTTGCCTTAGTTTGGATTGGGAAGTTTAAGTCATTTGTATTGGGAACTTGGATCAAAACTTTAATTTATCTTCATCTAACCTCCCTTTTGATATTTTCTCTAGTGTTGCGGGTCATCCTCTTTTGCAAACAGGAAGCAAAGTATTATCCGCTTTCATCCAGGATCCTAATTTCAGCCGTGAGAACTACAATTATTAAGAACTTTTTTCTATCCATGCTAAAAGAAAATTGTGGATTCCTTTTTTTATTTGTGTAAACGGAATGTGTGTATATTATCATATTTATTTCATTATATTTTCTTTTATCCGACTTTGTTTCTCTAAAAAACATTAAAAATAAAAATATGGGTGCTATTTAATCGTATCAATTAGGTCATCTATTACAAGTAAAATTCTTTCTTTAATAGATCAAATTATATTAGTGCAGGATAAATGGAGTTCAGTTTTCAGCCCCATTAATTCTAATGTAAAATTTACACAATACATATTGAGCCCAAATAACAAATTGTAATGATACCAGCAATAATGATTCAGATATTTCCCACTTGAAGCCTATTTTTTGATGGGTTAATTAGTAGATCACTAAAACTTCCGGTAGAAATTTCAATAGATTATATGGAATAATTATATTTATATATAATATATAATATAATAATTATAGTATAAAAATACTTTGATTAATTAGCTTAATCTTTTAATCTGTTAAATAATGTAATAAAATTATATAATTGTAATGTATAAACTAATTTTTAGATGGTTTTATTCATCTATTTTATATAATAAATATAAATTATATAATATAATGTAGGGTTATTTGCCTAAATTTTTTCAAAATCCTACAATTAGTTTCATAAAGATTTTACTATAATTTATTATAGCAAGATTTCAGCAGTTTTGGTATTTATAATAGGTCTTATTAAATTTTACTTTTCTTTATACCAACTTTTTAATAAAACTAAAACTTTAAAATAGTTTAAGTAAAGTTTTGCTATTTTAGCATTTTACCAACTTATTATTAAAATTCTTTAGTTTTTTTAGCAACCTTAGTATATAATAAAGGTAAATTTTACTAAAGTGATTTTAAATAATATAGGATTCAAATTTATATGAATTTGAGCTGGAAGTTAGATTACCCTGTGATCTATAATATACCATATCATGACTCTAACGCAATTGCAAATATATTTATACTTTATTAAAAAATTAAATTTGCACATTAACTGAATTTTTAATAATAGTATGTTTCAAATGATCTTGTGAATTAGCAATATATTTGAATTATATACAAAAATTTTATATTTAAGGATTTCTTAAAATGATTAAAATCCTTATCATCTACTCAAATTTTAATGATATTTAATATTTTTTGCATTATCATGATCATATGTTACTTTGAACATATCCCTCAACTTTTTTTCTTTAATGTAGATTTATTTAAAGAAATAATTACTAGATCCAGTCCATCATCGTCATCTGGTTCATCTACACTTTCAATATATAAAATAATAGCTTTTAGCCTTTTACATTTGAGGAAATAATCTTCTAGATTTGATAAGAATTTCAGTAACATTTTAAATGTAAGAAATATAATTGTTGGATATTCAAATACAAGCTCTTGCTTAAAGTAATATACTCCAGAGAAAAGTACTGACAAGTTGTATATATAAAAAAAATTGTCTACAGACATAACATGTGAGTAATAATAATCATAAATAATTTATCTAATTCAGCTCATGAAACTTACTGTAAACTTGTATTCCATAAACTTTAATTTTTCAGAATCATTAAAAATTGCCAGGATATTTTATTCTGATATAATTCAAAATAATTTTCACTTTTTGCAATTTTATTACAATCACTAATGTAATGGCTGTACTTTGAACTTTTTGGAAAATCAGAAGCTTCTATAACCGAAAACTTAAGATTTACTTTATGTAATTTTATTATAGCATTTATTTTACTTTTGGGATTACACTGATCACTATCTTGTTATGAATTATTGAGTAAAGTTACTAAATATATATAGCAGTGATTTTTCATCCTTATTACAATGCAAAATAATTAATAAACAATAAGTATTAATTTTAATTATGCCTAAACCTACCAGATAAAACCTATATATTGTAAATCTTTAAATAAAGGGTTAAAAGTCTGATAAATGAAAGTTATAATGTAATTATACTCAGCCAGGATCCCGAAAAATACATATAAAGGTCACATGTAAGTTTGCTTAACCATATTAGTAAAATTTCCAAAAGTCATAAAATTTTATTTGCATAGATTTTGAGATTTTTTAAAAGGTTATATATATAGTTTGCGTAATAACAATCATTTTTATATATGTTATATATTTTAATTTGCGTAGTTAACGGTATTTTTTAATAAAAAATATATATATATATAATTCCAGCAGTCTTCTACTAATTAGTAGCATAACGCCTTGGAATTCCAGCAATTTTCTACTAATTAGCAGCATAACGCCTTAGAATTCTGGTGATTTTCTACTAATTAGTAGCATAACGCCTTGGAATTCTAGCGATTTTCTACTAATTAGCAGTATAATGCCTTGAAATTCCCTAATAAGCAGCATTACATATAGTATAATACATAAATTTTTGAAAATACATAATTGATGGCTAATCTGATTGATAATAGATAATTTTTTTTTCAATTTTTTGACTTTTAACAGACCGTTTTATTGAAAGAAAAAAATAAAATAATTTTTTTTGGTCTGTAACAAACCATTTTATTCAATAAAATTTTTTTTTGGCCTTTACTATTATATTTTTTTAATAACAGGCCATTTTATTAAAAAAAAATATTTGGTTTAGAATGTTATTAATATTCCTTTTTATTATTTTTCTTTAAAAGCAACTTCTTAAATCTAAAATTTATTATTTTAGATACCAATATCTTGGAAAAATATGAGTTAAGAGAAAAGTATAGTCAATTTTTTTGGGAATATTACCATACTAATATTCCTTTTACTTTTTTCTTAGGAACTTGGAATTTAGACTGGAACTCCAATGCTCACTGTAAGTAAAGAATTTTTTAGCTTTATTTTATTTATTTTAGAAGTATTATTAACATTTCTATTGTTTTTTCTATTAGAAATAGTTTTTAGATTAAAACTAAACTGAAATTTTTAGTAAGTTGAGAATAGGGTGGAATTTTTTTTGTTTTATATGTGAAAGTAGTATTAATATTTTTTTTCTTTAGAAATAGGATCTTCTTTTAGAAATGATTTTATAAATTATATTGACTTTTCTTTAACTTTAAAATGTTATCAATATTCTAAGTTTTTGTTATAATTTATAAAAAAATAATGAACAATCTTTTTGTTTTAGTATTAATACTTGAATTATCAAATAATTAAATATAGTAGTATAAATAAATACATCAGTACAAATTAATTTATGCAATTTGGCATTATGCTAGCAATTGAAAATCAATTATACTGGAAGTATATTCTAAATACAACTAATTAAATTAAAAAAAAAGCCATGATTTCATTTTTTTAATATACAAATGTTATAAAAAAATTTGCTTATTCTAATATAAATTATAAAGTCAGAAGTCAACTTTGCGTATTGATCTTAATAAAAACATTTGCTTATTTTAAGGCAAAATTTTGCCGATCATCTCTGACTTTTATATGTATTTTTCAGGGTCCTACTCAGTCTGACCACTAATAAAACAATTCCTGCCATTTGGAAACTGATAATGACTATAAAAATAAAATCAAATATTAAATCAAATTTGATCATAACACAATAAAGATACATACAAAGCCTTTGAAATTGTTAGAATTCTTTTCTTCTATTGAATATTACTACTAGTTCTTAACTTGGAGTATTCTGACTTTAATACTTTATGTAATTTATCATATGTATTCTAGTAATAAAAGAAATGTTAGTATTCAATAAAACTATGTTCAATATTTTAATAAAATTAATGAAATTTTACTTATCACATTCTTTAATATATTTTTAGCATATATTTTGACCTTTTTATTCTTTACATTTGATGTTTTTATCTCAGCAGTCAGTGCTAATGTAACTTCTGTAAGATTAATCATCTTATTCGAAATATCGTTAAAAAATCTTCATGAATATGTTGATGATGATTTGATAGTATTAATGATATTATAACGAAGCAAACTGTAATATAAAACTATCAATAAGTAAAAAAAAAAGCAATATCATTGAAAAAAAGTACTCTTGCTTATGTATTCTTTGTGGTTGTTCTTCTTCTTCCTATTCTAATAACCGTCTCTATTATAAAACCACGAATTTTGAACTTTAGGCTATTATTGAACGAACCATCTACTCCAAGAACTTGATTGTTCTTCTGATCAAAGTCAAAGTACATTCCAACAATTACTTGAATGATTTTGCTGATTCCTTGGCCAATACTGCTCACACCTTATCGTCTAGTATCCTTTGAATCTTGCCTCTGCTCACAATTTTGTCTTGATTTATGATGATAACATTGTCTGCAAATCTAATCTGAGATACCTCTTCAAACAATATTACCAAATGCAGTTAATGCGTGATTTGTTGCAATTAACGCAATTTCATTTCACTTCATTATTATCATCTAATATAGATTATATTGTTGATTGGGATCTTACTTGGTTCACTTTGAAGTTTGAACCTTTTCATGATGCATCCTTTACCTTTGAGCATGCTTCACAGCACCACACCTTCAAGTTTAAACTCTTTTTGGATGAATTACCCACCTTGGAAAAACTTAAAAGAATATGCCAGACTCATACATAAACGAATTAACTTACCGTTCTTGTATTGACCGCATAGAAGACATGATGCATCTTTTTATGTGCAAAAGACATCGCTTACCTATGCAATAAATCCTTCAATCTTATCAAAATCATTTGATTTCTAAAATTCAAGAAGCCAGAAAATTGGCTGATATTGATCCGACTCCATTTATTACTAAACTTACTTCTTTTCATGTTGATCCTTTTCTTCTACAAATTGGTCCTCTTATACTCTTGTCTGTGGCTGTCTACCCAAGCTTTTTGTTGACTTATTTGTCGATTTATCTATCCCAAGATGTTCTGCAATAAAGGTTGTCGCTGCTATTCATAACAATTTTGTTCAAAAATTCAGAAGACGAATTTGGAATCTGCGTTCTTACGATAAAAATAGATAGAAAAACGTGATAAATATTACTTACAAGTTGAAAACTACTTCTCAGCCGTCTAATTGGCCTAAGTTAATGTACTTACCTTATTCATCTTTACCACCTCTAACTCTATACAATTTACATGACTCTGAAACTGATTGGTTGAAGAACTCGATGAAATATGGTTTGCCTTGATTTAATCACTTTTCAGGTTTTATGGATCATCTAATAGTACTACTTAATAACAGCTTTTGCAGGATGGAGTGTCAATTTTTATAGTGAGCACGCTATTTGTTATTTTGTTAGCATAGTTGCTTCTACTTTGGTTGGAATATATCAAGGGGAAAGATCTGGGAAAATTTAATGTAATGCGATTTTTCTTTTTTAGATTAATTTTTTACTTTATTTTTTCTTAGGAGACTATATAGCTTTGTTTTTAGTTAGTTTTATTTTTATATTTTTCTTTTTATTTTTTTGTAAATTGTAAAGTTCAAATAAATTTAATAAAGATAAAGGCTACTATGCCACGTTTGCCTAATTTTTGACTAGTAGTAGAATCATCGTACTTTCTCTCCCATTGGGCTCTGCCCATTTTTTCCCAAGAAGACATGGATGAAAAATATAAGGATTTTTTGCCTTGAGTAATAGTAAAAGGACTTTTTGACATTATATAAAGTTATTTCTGAGGTCTTTAGTTTCACCTGAATTCCTTACAGCTTATATTGAGTTAAGACCGTTATCATGAGTCTTGGAGTTACTAATAATAATGTAAAATGGCAGTTCCATACAAACGTTCTTCTGGACTTTCTGAAAGGTTGAAAAGTAATGCATCTTAGTTCTTACGCCTTTAAAGTCTAACTGGCCAAGTGGTTTGCAGGCCAGGCCGTTATTTTTTGAAAGGAGCTTTTGACCAACGTATTTCTTACTAGTTGATATTGTTAACAGGAGTTTTAGTCTTCTAAAATAAGGAGACAGAGTTGAGGTGTATATTTGGTGTTTTTTACTTAGGTTTTTCTCATTACACTTCAAGTTTTCCTAAGGTTTATGTCTTTATTTTTTGCTTTTTGTTTTTCTTGGTCACTTTTACACAGGTTGAAAAGTGAAAAATCAGGCATCAATCAGTCACCAATTGGTCACCAATCAGGCACCAATCAGCTACCTGATTGGTGACCAATAGGTGCCTGATTTTTCACTTTTCGACCTGTGTTTTTCAGTATAACTTTATTTTCTTTGGGGTGAAGGGATACTAGAAAATTTGATCGTCATGGTAGCTTGATATTACTAATTTTTAAAATCGATGATCATTCAGGTGATAAGAGGGGTGACAGGTTGGGTACCGCAGTTTTTGTAGTATGCTGATCATGGTGGTCACATGTTGGGCGGTTATTGGATTAACTTATCTAGGTAAATTTTAGGTCAAAGGATCGTTCGCAATAAGATGGATGTACCTTCAGGAATTGCACGACACTAAAAAGTTTCCCATCAGTTGGACTGTATGACACTAAAAAGTTTCCAGAGGCCTTTGTAAAATAGGTTTGTTATCCATAATATGTAATCAAATAAGGGAAATTGAATGATGATAGGTGGAAATGCAATTTTTACGGAATTGAGAAAGAAACTTATAATTACCTATGGCAATGTTGTAAGATCAAAGATATTGTACAAGATATAATTAAAAAGTTTAAAGAATTTTTGGTGAATATAATAATTGAATTTTCAAAAGATGAGGTAAATAAAAATCAATTTGTAAATAAAGTTGAGAAATTAGAAATATGGAATACTAATTATTATTACAATTTTACATTTATATTGAAAAATCAAATCAGTTATAAAATTATGAATCTATTTAAATTTTATAAAATAGTAGATCCAAAAATGATACAAAAATTGTAAACAAATAATTAGGAAAATTATTTTAGATTTTAAAATATTGATCTGAAAATATAGGAATGAACTACAATTAGAAAAAGAAAAAAGATACAATATTAGCAATAAAGATAAAAAAAGAAGTCAAAGTTGAATAGTAAAAAGTGGGATGGGAAGCACATTATAATGGAACAGAGTGAGACCAATTGGAACAAATAAAATGATTTAGCATTCCATTGGGAAGGTCATTGGGCAAATTTTTAGATAGATCTTGACAGTCACCTAAAATTTTTGGTTATATCATTGTTTATAATAGTGATATAAACATCTAGATGAACAGGTTGACTTTTTCTTCAGAAGAGTAGTCTTTTTTCATAATGCTTAGTGTTTTTCTTATTTTTATAAGTTTAGTATATGTAAGTAAGTGTAGTTATATTAAGACAAGATCACATCTATAGAAATTAATAAAAAAAAAAAAAAAAAAAGTATTGTAATTTAAAGAAGCATTAAAAATATATTAGATAATACTTTAAAAGGTAAAAAAAAAGCAAATCTTATATAATATAAAATCAAGTATTAATTATAAATAATAAAAAAATAAAAACAATAAATGTAATAGATGAAAAGATAACTAATGCTATTTGGAATTATTTATTGAAAGTCTAAATATGAGGTATATTATTATAAATAAAAGAATGTAAATAGAAAATGGTTAGTAATGATGTTGCATTGTTATACAGTACCATTATAAAATAAATGAATTAGAATGAAAAATAAAGAATAACATGATTAAATAACAATAATACATTATTATACATAAAATAGAAAAATTAGAATGAAAATAAGAGTTAAGGCAGTAATAATAAAAACAATTTTGAATCACAAATGATAACGGAATAATCCTTTGAAAATTAAATTACATCAATGATATTAGGTTGAAATTGTTAAGATTATAAAATAATCTTTGTATTTGCAAATTAAACAGACTGTTAGGGTCAGATATTAAATGATGAGTTGAAGAAAAATCAATACCCGGTTTTCTTTCTTTTAATAACAGTTCTAGAATTGTTCAAGTACAAATTATTGTTAGTTATTGCTAAATACAATAAATACAAGAATCTTATATCACAATTAAAATATTTGAGTCTTTAATAAAATGTTTGTGAAAAAGCTCTATATACAAATTATTTTAAATTAATTAATTTTAGGATTTAGAATATAGAAAAATTAAAAATTCTTTTTTTTTAAACTCTAGGAAAAATATAATTTCTATTACTAGATTTTTTTCTTGATTTAAAATTTCCCGAAATAGGAAAAACCATTCCATCACCAACTTGATTGCCAATATTAAAATTTGTTTGAGCTGCTACTTGACAAGCTTTTTCCTCATTCTCGTAAATGCCAATTAATTGTCCATCTGATATTACGACATAATAGTTTAAATCTACATTACGAAATTGTCCTCCATGTAACGCTCTAAAAAATGCTATAAGATTTTTAGCTCGATAAATTGCGATAAGATTGTCTTGATTGTTTTTGTCAAATGGTTCATTTGATCTGTCAATATTTTTACTATACTGCAATTGATCTGAGGTTGTAGTTAAGGAAGGTGGTTTGTGAGAGGAAAATGATGTAGATGGTTGAACATGTGAAAGAATCAATTTCGTTTTCGATGATTCATTTTCTTCGTCTGCACATAAAATAAAAAAAAGAAATGAATTTTCGCGATAAACTTATTTTCATTTCACGGTTAAAATGGCTAAAGAAGATTAAATTACCTTTAAAATCGATAATATCTTGTTTGGTATCACTCATTTCGTCCGTGTCTGTGTCTGTAAAATAATGCAAAACTAGTAAATACCTAGTCGTTTTGTTCATTTAGTTGTTTGTTTGTTTATCTCATCGAAATACATATATATTTATCATACCAAATTCCGAATTTTCTTCTAATAATAAATATTCGAGTTTCTCTCTAACACAATTTGAATATTCTCTTTTTTTCCCTTGTAAACTCATTTATTTTCTGATACATACATATATGTGTATTTATACAAAAAAGTTTGTTAAGAAATCATATCGAATTTATATAGTTTAATATAACAAATCCAATCGCCGATCCGATCGCGAACACCGATCGCGCCTCAATGATTCTCAATGATTTCATACTGTAATTAATTTTGAAATCATGTGTACAGATGTTGAAAGAAAGACTGATTAATTTAAAATGTGATAAAAATACAATCAAATAATTATCTACTATTATTATTTTCTCGCATCATAACTTGATTTGTTAACTAAAAGTGTTCCAATAACGATCAAACTCGCCCCAAACCACCATTGTAAAGAGAGAGTTTCTCCAAAAATAATATTTCCCAAAATTGCCTATCAAATATATAATCGGGTTCAAAATTGTAAATAAAATCTTGTATGAAATTACACATTAAATAGTACTTACGGTCATGCAAAAGTTTGTCGCACTGTTTAATACAGTAACCTGAAGAGATGATGATGACTTATTCAATGCTTTAGTAAAAAATGTCCACATCAAAGCGTTACATATAAATATTGATCCAAAACAAAAAATACGTATGAGATACATAATCTTATAGTAAATCGGTAATTGCCGTATAAAGGAAGTATGAAAAAAAGAATTATATGAGATACTCGATTTACATAAACTTTACTCTTTTATTAATGTATATTACCCAATTTGTATCTTCCTTGATTTCGTTTAAAATTTCTTCACACTTAAAAAATGTATCATTTCCGATTACATCACAGAGATATTGTAAAATTAAAAATGTTCGAACATCGGTAAAAAGTTTTGCAAATACTGAGGCTAATGCAGCAAATGTACCTGATAATATCGAAAAGGAAACAAATGAATGTGAATTTTCATTTTCATTCATGGTTTCTATGTGTAAATAAGTTAAATAAGTTTGGATAATTTATAAAAAGAACTCGATTCTTACAATGACTGATTATCCTCTATACTTTAAAATCACCGATAAGTCCATGTTTGTCGATTTTGTGACTTTAATCACGTGAAATACGTTATACATGGGGTAATCAGAGAACGGCGAATTGGTGTAATGTGCCATAAATTCACCCCTAGATAAGCGGTTTGCTAGTAATACTTAAACTATGTTTTGGATTTGATATATTGATAGTATGCATGTAAAGCCATTGTGTCAATGGCAAAAAAAAAGATACCATCAAATTAAGGCAGGTCAATTTATATGATTTAAAATTTTAAACTTGTTCAACGTGCTTTATTTAATTGTGATGGTGCCCATAATTATCCGGCCAGTTTGTTTAGCTAAAATTATGTAGATCATCACATGTTAATGTAATATAAATAGCATATGATTTTGTTATTTAAACAATTTCTGTACTTTATATTTTTCTGATTTTTTTTAAAATATTAAATAATATACAACACAAAATTTTCATTAAAATAATGGATTTTCAAAAAGGCCTTAAATGGATTGAAAATATCAATATTGGCCCTATTATTATGAGTTTACCACCATTTGAATCATCTCATTGAGACGAATCTAATAAGCCATAAATTGATTTCATTTAATCACTGAATCAAAAGTTATTATAGAAAATAACATTTAAGTATTTTGTAATTGCACATCAAATATTAATCCCAGAAATATATAATTACTACCATTCAATTTCTCTCAATGAGATGATCCAATGATATAAATTTCATTAAACTTTAATAACTGGATATCAAGTTATCCTTGATATATGATTTTAAAATTTAAATATATGAAATTTACAAACTTATACTAAATATTATATTTGCAGAACCTAAATTATTGTACAAAATTATGCTATAAAATTATGAAATTTTACATTACATTTCTTACTATATTATTTGAATAATGTACTTGAAAAATACATTAAGAATGCATTAAAAGATATCCTTCTAGATAAGATATTATAAAAAATAATTAATAGTATATTTTATAAAATTAAAACAGCTGTTGCTGCAAATAGTAATAGAATTTATTATTAAATTTTTATTTAAATTAATGAATTAAGACATAATATAAATATTAAAGTTTTATTTTATGATATTATATATATGTTGTTTCACTTTAAGAAATGGTCAGATAGTTTTAAGCATCATCTGTAATTATGATAAGAGTACAAAAACCTTCTACTATAATATACGCAGAATGAAAAATAAAGGTTTTATATAAGATTTATAACAGATAAGGTTATTATAGTCTAGTTAAATTTACTGTAAAAATTACTAATTACTAGTGATGCTAACTTAACTGAATTACTGAAGCTAAATGATGGATTAGTTTAAACATTTTGTATTTTAGTTTTCAGCTTTTTATTATAATTGTTAAATGTCATAATAAAGTTTAAATAATAGCTTGTTAAAACCTATTTTAAAAGTTAAAATAAGCTTTTATATATAAAATACATTTAAATAAATTAATATTTCTATATGAAACATATTTAAATAAACTAAATTTATATGTAAATATATCTTATAATAATTTTTTTTTATAAATTTTCATTATATTTTTATTTTATAATTTATTAAATAACTAAAGATTCAAATATATTTTTAATCACATTATCTCAAGTTGATACACATTCTGAAAAATACCAGACATTAGTGTCACAATGAAAAATATAAATGACAAGCTAGAAGTCAACCTAGAGAATAGATTTAAAATTATTGTAAAATTAGTGATCCTGATACGCATAAATATCAGAATGTAACTTGTAATTACTGTCTAAAGCATTAGAAGCATAGACATTCAGATAAAATGAAGACACATTTTATTAGTTATTATTCAGTGGTAAAATTCACTTGCAAATAAAATTAGAAATTATAAAAGAACTGATAATACAAAAGGTTCTAATTTAAAGCAATCTGATTATAATGAATTAATTAAACCTTTCATATCTGCCGATCTGTGGAATTAGTTAAAATTAAGATTTTTGTAAAAATTTATTCGTTTAATAAGAATTGTGTTTTACAAATTTAAATTAAATATGTGTTACATGTTCAGATGATCTGAATTTATCAGAAAATAAAAATTTTTTTTTAAATTATATTCAAAAACAATGATAATGACTGCTTCTTTCTTCAATCACTTTTTCATTAAATGAGTTAAAAAAGTTTGTAAATATATAAAGTGGTTATTTTTAAATAGTAAGTAAAAGAAAAAATAAATAAATATTTTTTATTTATAAGAAAAATGATTTTTTATTTGTTTTTAACTTTAGTTCCTCTCTTTTTTTCTGTAAAATATATATTAAATTAAAATATAATCTATGATATAGGATTTTTAAAAGTTTTTTTTTTATTTTTTATTAAACTAATTTTATACTAATTGTCTTCTATTTTTTGATATTTATTTTAATAGTTTTATTCAATTAAAACTTTAAATAATGAATAATTATCGTTAAATAGACAACAATTATTCAAGATCTCTTGTGAAAATAATTTTTTGGTAAGAAAATGTAACTTTAAAAATTTATTTATATCAGGTTTTATGCAATTTACATGTTCGTTAATATCTCAGCATCCATATATGTTAATCAAATAATTTTATATTCATTCGAAAGATGGGAACGTACTCTATCTTAGTAATTAAAGATCATTCAAATTGAATTACTAGATGTGGAGATATTAACGATTAAAGTTAAAAATTAAAAATAATTATACTAAACGCATTTACTCAACAATCAGTGATTTGATGTAATTTTAGATTCATTAGATAGGCTTTTGTTTTCTCTTTCAAATGAATATAAATTTATCTGTTTAGCATACATATACGTCAAGTTATTTAAAATTTTATCACAATAATTTTATTTTGATTTTTTAAATTTTATTGATGTTATATTAAAAAAAATAAAAAATCATATGACGATCAATTTTATTTACATCAGCTGATATTGATCTATTATTTTTGTGCACCTGGTGATTGGTACTTATGCATTAATATATGAATAAAATAAAATTGATAAGACTGTTTTAAAAGTATGAATAGTAATAAAAATTTCATTTAAAATAATTAAAAATCTCTTTATAATTAATTTGTTTAAATAACTTAATGCATCATATAATCTACTTAATCATATAATACTTTCTAACCAATTGTTGGAGCAAAAAGTTATAAGAGTCAGGTTAAAAATTAATACTAAATTAGAAAAGTATAAATTTTAATATTTGGTAAAATATATTATTTTTACACCTATTTTTAAGTTAAAATTTAACCAATTACATATGAATGTATAATTTTTTTTTGCAAATTCTTTTTTTTCAAGTATTTTTTCAGTATATCAAATGACTTTATTTATAGTTAATATGTCATCTATGAAAATATCCTTTTCCGAAGATTGTGTTCTAGCACAAAATCAGCAAATTTAACCCCAAATTTTATTAGTAACGCAGTGCTGTTCTTAGACGAATCGGCAATTAAATTATTTTTATATAATTATTATAATGCAATTATCTTGACTTCTAGTGATCCAATTTTAATAAACTTTTTTTTAATTTATAGCTCTCATTTAGCTCTACAAATCTAGCTTTATAAAACAAAAAAAGTTTGTTCAATTGAATCACTAGAAGCCAAGATATTTGTATTTACATTATAATAATTATTATAATACAATTATCTTGACCTCTAGTGATCCAATTTTAATAAACTTTTTTTTTAATTTATAGCTCTCATTTAGTTCTATAAATCTAGCTTCACAAAACAAAAAAAAGTTTGTTCAAATTGAATCACTAGAAGCCAAGATAATTATATAATATTATATTATGTATAATATTTAATATTTAATAGTAATAATTTTTTTAGCCAATCAGATTTCAATCAGATAGGGGTGGGGATTAAGGCTACTAATTGAGAAAAATCAGCTGATTTCTGGCACGCCTGTTAAAACAATTATTTGATTAAATAATAAGTTAAATAAAAATTTACATTTGTAAAACTTAAATTATTAAATATAAAAGAAATGCAAAAAAACCTATTTTGCTAACAAAAACTCTATTTTTTACCTATATAATATTTTAATGTATATTATTAGCAAGTAAGTATATTTTAAAATGAAAATAAAAATTTAATAGTCATGAATATTTATAAAAGTATTTTAAGGTTCAATAAATATTATTTGAAATTTTTTCTTCTAATAAGTTTAATAAATTTTTTGAATTTTTATATTTTTGAAATATATGGTTAATTTTCATTTATATAATTGTACAATATAGGAACTTTTTATATTCAAACTAACTGTAAATATATATAATTTCAATTTTTACACAAAAAAATCTAAAAGTTATTGTATAAAAAGTGGTATTATAATGGATATTTTTCAATATTTCTAAGAATTATTCTCATTATATTTTGGCTTAAAGAAAGATATTAATCTTGATTTTATTTGACTAAAGTGGTGAAATTATGCGCTGAAGTTAGTAAACAGAAAAAAAATTCAAAAGTTAGTACCATTATGAAAAATGTAGGTTTCTCCATATATATTGTACCTACACCTATGAAAATTAATATACAAGTAGTTTTGACCTTGCTAAACAATGTTCAATTAATTTAGAAAGTCAATTTCATTTGACTAAAGTGGTAAAATTATGTGCTGAAGTTAGTAAACAGAAAAAAAATTTTAAATTGTTCAGCAAAGTCAAAATTACTTGTATATTAATTTTCATGGGTATAGGTATAATACATATAGAGAAACTTACATTTTTCATAATAATAACTTTCAAAAATTCATATTTGACTCTTCCATGTATCTACGAATTTTTTAACATTTGCAAAAAGAAACTGTATCTATAAGAAATAAAAAAATAAGAAAAAATAAGAAAAAATCATTAAAAAAAAAAAAATAAATTAGAGTTTTGAAAAATCATATATATTGCCTAATAGTTATAATTTGCCAATCTGTGAAAAATTTTAATAAAAAAAACTGATAATATCTTAAAATTACCTTATATAATTAAAATTCTTATTTATAGTGGGTATCAAAAAGTCACTGAGCAGTTTATTCTTTTAAACGTTTAACTTCAGTTCTCATTTAGTTATGAGCCATAACTTGTTAGAATGAGTATTTGTTGGTAGCATTTTTATGTCTAGCATTGATATATGAAAAATTATTAGTATTTAATTGTTTAAAGAATAACTCCTTAACTCCTTATATATATTGATATGAAAATACTATACCATTCGATGCCGAATTGCTCTTCATTGTTGCAGATCTAATGAGTTTTGGTTCATGGTTACTGGATGAGAAGACAATGTGGTTAAACGTTCAAAAAAAAATAAAAAAATTGCCCAGCACTCTACTGCATGTTACAAATACTTAATAAAATTGCTATATTAAACCTCATTATATCCGTAAATAGTTTACAGTATACCGTATCTAGGAGATTTACGGATTCGAGCTGGATTTTCAAAAATCAAGTGACCAAATTATACGATTAGGCCATAGACCGATCGAATTTAAATCTGGTTAATTTTAAATATCCGGATAGATCAAATCAAATTTCAGATTTATTATCCATGTAATAATCGTACCTGTTGTCATTTAGGTAATTACTTAAAAAATTTAATTATGATATTATGTGATGACGGGAAATAATGATAATTTTTAGTGGTACTGAACTGGTACTGAACTACTGAACTGACCGATGAAAGAAGTCTGCCCAAATTCTTAGTTTAAAATATTATTTAATATCTAACATGTCATTATTTGGACCTATTATAAAAGAGATAGAGACTTAGAATTTAAATTTGTAATAAATTTTTTATGATACTTAACATATTTCGAATTTCGATCAACGACGCGTACAATGTCACAATTGTCTCACGATTTCTAATTGGTCGATCACCTCAACATTCGACTTTGTTCGTAATTTAGAATTGAGAAAAAATTCTTTAGTCTTCTAAGTATTGTCATAACGTTTTTCATATTGTCTAATAACAATAATGGACCATGAAAATCATAATGTTACATGTACGATAAACTTTCTCTGGATCCAGTTTGTGTTACAAGAGTGGATCAAGATCTCTGTCAATTGTTGATAAACAAGGAATAACAAATACACGTCTAGAAGAAAGTATATATTTACTACAAATTTTTTTACCTTTTTTACCTTGATGAAAGGAGACATTAAGCAATGAATTATCTTGAAATCGCGCGTATATAAAGATATAAAAGAAATAAAAATCGATTAATTAATTTTCATTTTAAACGTTAATTATAACAAAATTTAAATAAAAATTATATATTACCAAAACAAATAAATTTCTAGGTAATCTAAAAATGGTTAGAATGTTATGAATATATATTTAAACCATTTTGAATGTTATCAAAAAAAAGAAAAGATCAAATTTACGCGTTTGTTTTTTTACCTGTAAGGTATGTAACAGTCATTAGACACAGTTACGCATGATCCTTCCATAAACTTTTTTCTAAAATCAAAGTTAAGGTCTTCGAAGATTCCGAACTATAAAAAGTAAAGGAGTCCAAATTATGTAAAAATATAAAAATAAAAAAAGATGAATACGGTGTTATGTTTATCAAATATCAATACCTAAATTATTTATATAAATGGCCTCTCGAATTAATTCTTTTTCATAAAAAAATAAAAAATAAAAAAAAAAATATAAAAAAAAAAAAAAAATAAAAAAAAAAAATCATATGTTAATAATTTCAGTCTTAAGCTACCCCGAATAAATAAATGAACATATGTAAGATATCCTCCATTCCTTAATTACCTTATAACGTTCCTTTCTTCCTTTCTTTTCTGAAATTAAAAAAAAACAAATTATAAGTTCGGTTAAGTATTCACACCACTCATACCATTATCATATATTTACCAGTTGAACCAGATAAGCAGATTGCATATAATCTAAAAAGCGAGCACCCAAATACACAGAACTACCTCAACCTCATTATGGTCTCATTATTATGAAAATATGAAAATCGTCACAGTACTCGTCCACGTCCAATAACACTTCACATTTGCCTCTATCCAATGTCTTTCCTTGCCTTAATTATGGCATTAATAATTGTCAAAACCAAACTCTTATGAATTAAATATTTTAAGCGAAGCTAAACCGCACTTTCTTTTTTTGTAGTACATACAGTATGGCGCAGCTTCTTACAATTTTGCAATTAAATAAATTATATAACAAAAATCATGAAAATAAATTAGATAAATTTTATAAATTTTAGATAGAAAAATATTTCTCTTTCTTTATTGTAATTTTTATAACGATATGAATAAAGCGATTATACGATAAGATATTAACTTTAAAACGAAAACGTACAAGAGTTTTTTTTTTTTAACAAAAAAAAAAAAATGAAAAAATATTTTTTTTTAATTTTAAGTTTACTATAAAATAATTGACATGCTTTTAATCATTTTTTAATGTACCCAAAAGATTGTAATAAAATAAATAAAGTCTGCATAAAAAAAAAATTTGATCATAAAAAAAAAGTAAATCTTAATAAAAAAATTCTTATGGAATTGTGTATAAAAGTTTGATCGGATAGGAAATGTAATTTAATACTTTAGCAGACTTAAGTTATGTCATATATAATAAGAAGAAGAAGAAAAACCCAAAAAAAACCCCAGATGATATCCATAATTTTTACGCAAAGTTTTATAAGGACCAGCCTTAATAATTTAAATATCGAAAATGGGTTGGTTATCGAATAAAGTACCGAAAGGTGATGTTGGAATCTCCCTTTCATTATTATTAGGATGTTCCGTCCAGAACAAGCATTCATCGGAGGGAGGAGAAGAACGTGGAGACAAGGTTTCCATTGGTTCTATTGGAATGAAACTCATTGGAGATAACGCATTGTCATCATAATATGATGAAGCGCTATCGCTACCATTATCGTTATTGTCATTACTGATATTATTATTAATAATATCGTAGAATGGTAAGGAATTCCCATTATTGATACCGTAAGGATGGAAATTGATTGGAGGCAATATTGGTTGTGAACAGGTTGTGGTGGTCGAATGAAGGACTAACGGGGTGGTTGGTGTCGCGGTATAATTAATGAAAGTAGCCGGAGGATAATTCCTTTGTTTAAAGGGGGATTCACCCAAAGTTTCAATCTTTGTATCTCGGGGATTACTGATGTTTAAGTCCGTATATCGAAAATTATCATTCTTCTTATCAGTTTGGAGATCTTTATCAGTATTATCGTGGATATACCACGTAATTATTCTACCCTTCTTTTTGTTTTTCAAGTCATCTTTTTTTGCTTTTGCAATTTTCCTCCTCCTGGATTTTCTAGCCGAATTAAATCTCGGCGAATATTTGTAATCAGGATAAAGGATTCTATGCTTGTGCTGATACATGTCAGCCAATATCTTAAAAAACAATTTGACAGCGTCGGTTTGTTGCTTCCATTGGTTGGAAGCCATTTGAGAAATTAAACGTATAGAAACTTTTTTTTCGGGAGAGGTTTTCATTCTTGCGGCATAATCATTACGAAAGATTATGAAAGCATTATGTGGTCTAGGAATAATCACATCCTCTTCAGGATCCGTAACACGGGTTGAATTATCGTTTATTTGCCTCTCTTTTGGAGTTTTCGGGGTGGTTAATTCCGCAACGGACAACGTAAGGTCGTATGGAGGGCATCGCAATAAAGGATGCAACTCTTGAGATGAAATCAATTCATCGTGAAATATCAAATTCATCTTGTTTTTTTTTAGTAGTATAAAAATAAATAAATAAAAAAAAATGCAATTTTTTTTTAAAAAAAAAGAAAATAATTTTTTTATATTTATTTATTTATTTATTTTTTTTTTAAAAAAAAAAGAAAAAAAAAACAGGATGGGTTTATATATAAAAAAATGGGAAAAATTTCAAAAAAAAAAATGTGGATTTTTGTTTTTAATTTTTTTTAATAATTTTCTGGGGGGTTTTTTTTGGGTTTAAAGAAGCTGTAATGATAATAATTTTTAAAATTTTTATTATTTTTTTTGAACTTTTCCAAGATGTTGGGAATCCATCTCAGCCCCTTTTTATAATTCAAGAAATATTTCTGGTCCTCTGTTTCATCAAGTGACACTCGGCTATTCGGAAATGAAGATGATTGAAGGATAGATAACAATATATGCGCGTTAAAAATTAATATATATAAATATATATAACCCAAATATAGCGCGTTTCTATTCAAAGATTATGCTAACCTAATTTTTATTTGTACTTGTTTCGCGATTTCTTTGTTACTTAAAAAATAATTTGTAGGAAGGGTAACTTTCAAAAAAAAAAAAAGATTTAGTTACTTATCGCACTTGGTATCATCTAACCTTATTATAAAGTTTAATCTAAAAAGAACAAAAGAATTTTTTATATTTGAAAAATAAAAAAAAAAAAAATTCTTTTGTTTTTTTTTTTTTTTTATATGTAACCGGTGTAACAGCAACAAACCATTTTTTCATTTGATTTGATCAAAAATTTCACAAAATGGAGTATGAGTAACTCATTTGACCTTTTTTTCCATTTGATTAGATACAATCGGGAAAATATTCTTATAAATTCGGATGTTGATTTTAAAATAAGTTAAATAAGTTTCGGGTAGTTCAGTTTTTGAAGTCAAAAAAAGATAACGCCAATCATAAATCAAAATTAACACGTATAATATATACAGTATATATATATTATATAATAAGTTGATAGTTGACAACAATATTAGAAAAATATATATACATATATATATACACTCACACACATATATATATATAAATATATATATAAATATATAATATAATATAATATAAATAATATAAATAATATATAGAAAATATTTTAAAAAACAACGTTGGTTCCAAATTTGTTTTATAATACTAAATCTTCATATATAATGTTGATGATATAAATGATAAGATGTACTGTACTGTAACATATAATTTCAGTATATTATTCGCTAATCTATGAAAATTTTCCACCATTCATTCCAAAAATGTTTTTTTTAATTATATCAAACTTAATTTAATACCAGCGAGAATATAAAAAATGGTAAACCATTAAAGGTTTGTACAATAAGAAATAGTATAATATAAAAAAAATTTATCATTCTTCTTTTTTTGTACCAATTTGTTTATACTTGATATGTACATTTTTTTTTTTTTTCCCAAATCAATCGTTTATCATTGCATGTTTTTGTATTTTTATTTATCTATTTTTTTTTTCAAGGAACCAATCAATTTTTTAAAAAACAAACTAAAGCAAAAGGCCGAGATCTTTGTCCAAAAGAAAAATCAAGAAACAATTTTAGTATTTTGTCACGCGTTAATTTAATTAATTCTTTTAATTATAATTTTAGTAACCATGTAATTTTTCATATGATACATTTTTTACCCTTCCCCAACATAAATTTGGATTTACATTCTTGGATTCAAAAACAGAACTTCCCGTTTTTAAATTAAACCATTTTAATGAAGTTTTGTCATTCGATCCCATCAGTGTACCTAAATAATAAATATACAAAACTTACCATAAATATTATTAATTAATTTACTGTATTCTATATTTTTATAACAGAATCAGAATTTACCATCTTTTTTACGAAATTTTAATCAAAAAGAATAAAGATTTTTTGGATCATCACTAAATAAAGTTAGCCAATTAAATTCCTCATTTCGTGGTACAAAAACTCACCGTTGTTTGCTTTTTGGGAAATAATTTTTTTTTTTATGAACTTTTTTCTTATATTTGTGTAAAAGATAATTTTTACGCCAACAATTTTTTCGTCGGACCAAATTTCCGATTTTAGGGAATGCATTTATCTATATGCTTTTCCAATCATTTAATTTGTTTGATTTATTGATTTACAAGTTCGCTCTTAATCATAACTAAATGTCGTGCAATCTTCTTCAAACCTCGTTATCATTAAACCTTATCATTTCATTTCGGGATATAATAAATTTCTTAATATGTAATCTTTTATACCGAAACGATATTATTTAATACATAACAATGCTAAGCGATCAAATATTAGTTATATAAAAATTTAATTATAGTTATTTTTTTTTTTTTAATATTTTGGGGTCCGTTTTATAAAAATTCCCGATTTTCTATACATATTTATACATAAAGTGAAATAATGCTCAATGTATTGATCTTCTAAAACCAAGAGTGTTTGTTAAATTATCTGCATAATATGAAGGAAATTTATTAATAATGCAATAATGCTCGAGAAATTGCATCAAGTATCGCGTCATACAATAATTATAATAAAATTCAAACAGGAAAACAGGAGACTTTGTTGTGGTATCTAAAAATATTCAAATGGACAAAAATTCCCATGTTGTATATTCGAAACATTTCAAAACAATTCTTGTAATGTCACGTGATTGCGTGATTAACTCCAATTTTGGTAATCCCATATATAAGTAATTGTATTTTGAAAAAGGATAACAATGGACCCTGACGTCGGATTAAAAATAAGATGAAACTTTACGAAACACAAAAGAGCTTGAAGATTAAAAAGGAATGAATTATTGTGAAACATGTTTCTTTCTTCGGTAGTTCGGTTATTACATAATTTATTTTTTATTTTTTTTTTTAAAAAAAATGAAATTATTTTAATCTATTATCTGTTATATATCTCAATTAATTGTTTTCATTTATCTTTTTTTATGTTAGAAATTTTTTCCTATTATTAGTGAAATATGCGAGATTTACAGATTTACGAACATTTTGCACGTTTTATGGTTCAAATTATTATTTATACATGAAACCAATAAAAAAACTATTATAAGATATTTCGAAAAATAACGGATTTTGATTCCGATTCATAAAGAAAAAATTTTCTAAATTCAAAAGAATTTTGATACAAATACGTCCAAAATGTTACAGCATAATCATGTAATACGTAAAATGTAACACATTCCTTTTTTTTCTTTTTTTTTCTTTTTTTCTTTTTTTTTTAGAAAAAATAAAAGATTTGTTATTGTTAATCGATAAATTATTATTATTCAGAAATCCTCTCTTCCATATTTAATCTTCGCATTGGACCGGTAATAACCGATATCAAGAAGATCATAAACGTGAAGGTATTATTAATGATTATTCTATAACGTTACAATCTTTAGATAGTTAAGAGGGGAACGCGTAATTTTTATATTCAGTTTTACTTATATAGTTATATAAATAAGATTATTAATTAAAATTTTAATAGAATGATTTATTTATGTTCTTCATATTGTAAAAGTTACCTATTGTAAAAGTTATTGTACAATTTTAGTAAACTTTGTTATAATAATAAACTCTTCTCCAAAAATCAAAAACTTTAATCAAAAGAATGTTCCCGTGATACGATATATACGACATCATACTTTTTTTTTTTATCCTATCAAATGATTAACAAACACGTTATTTACAGATTGTTACACGGACGATCATCAAATATTTTTTCGTTTCTTCCAAAAAAAAACAAAATTTTTCAAATAGATTAGACTTTAAAAAAGTTTCACTTAATTTAATGAATTTATCAAAAAAGGACGAAGATTCAGGTGATTATCATTCCTTTTTTTATATACAATATTTCTAATTACGATTAAAATCCCGTCAAGATGTATTTTCTAAAGCTTTAGATTGAAACATTCTAGATAGTTTTTTTAGAGTTTAGAGAATTTTTTTAGTGTTTGGTGATTTAAACATTTTTAGGTTTTATTGAATCAAAATATTGGGATTTAATTGGATGGGTGGATTATAATCGTTTGATAGAAATTATTATTATTGGTGATTTTATCAATTAATGTAGTTTAGTTTTGTTATACATTATTTTTTGACAGGAGACTTGGGTGTCTTTTATCACCTCGATAAGACTACCGTACTTCAAGAAGCTCGCGTTTTTAATGAGTCTCCAATAGTTCCAAGAAAATGTCGTCTTTTACTCACAAAGATCATATATTTATTATATCTCGGTGAGCCGATGGCTACCACTGAAGCTACAGAATTATTCTTTAGTGTTACTAAACTATTTCAATCCAAAGATGTAAGTTTTTTTTTAAATAGATCAAAAAAAAAATTTTCCCTCTCGCTTTTTTTTTTTTTACAAAATGAATAAAAAAAATATAATAATCTTTAAAATAAATTATTAATATATTTCGTAAAATTTTAAAATTTTTATTATGAATTTCATAGACCGCTCTTCGACAAATGGTTTACTTGGTAATTAAGGAGCTATCAACCGTTGCTGAAGATGTTATTATGGTTACTAGTAGTTTGATGAAGGATATGCAACCAAAATCTGAAGTCATCTACCGAGCAAATGCTATAAGAGCACTTTGTAAAATTATTGATGTAATTATTATTTATTATTATTAATCAAATAATAAGTAAAAAGTTTAATTAAATTATTTTATTACTTAACTTAGGCATCAATGCTTCCAAGTGTTGAACGTTTTCTTAAAGCCGCTATTGTTGATAAAACTCCATCAATATCATCCTCTGCAATGGTTTCTAGTTATCATCTATTTCCTGCTGGTAAAGATGTGATTAAACGATGGGCCAATGAGGTTAATGAAGCTATTAATTCTAAACCATCTTCAATTGTTGGTACTGCATCTTCATATTTAACATCCTTTTCATCAAGTGGATCTTCTTATAATTCACAACCATCATCAACAAGTAATATTAATCAATATCATGCATTGGGTCTCATATATATGATTCGACAACATGATCGTATGGCTGTAACAAAATTAATTCAACAATTGGCTGGTAGTAGTCGAGGAACTTTTGGTTCCTCAAGTGGAATTTTACGCAATTCTTTTGCATATTGTTTGTTGATCAGATACGCTGCTAAAATTTTAGATGAAGACCCAAAGTAAGAAAATTTTGTTTATAATTACCTTTAAATTCATGTTTATTTTTTAAATTTTTTTTAATTAATATTTTTTTTTTTTTTAGTTCGCGACAACAAATGTATGACCTTTTGGAGGTATGGTTACGCCATAAGAGTGATATTGTAAATTTCGAAGCAGCAAAAGCGATATGTAATATCAAGGATGTAACAAGTAAAGAATTATATCCAGCTGTTAACGGTAAAGTATTTTTTTCTATGATATTTTTCTGATTTTGGTAAATATTATTAGTTTCTTTCCTAATAAATCTTTTGTAAAATTTTAGTTTTACAACTTTTCCTATCCTCTCCAAAATCTACTCTTCGCTTTGCCGCAATTCGTACACTCAATAAATTGGCCATGACTCAACCAACTGCTGTTCAATCTTGTAATTTGGATATGGAAAATTTGATCACTGATCAAAATAGAAGTGTAGCAACTTTTGCTATAACTACTTTACTGAAGGCAATTTATTTTTATAAAAAAGCTTTTTTAAAATTTTATTTAATCTTTTATTTAATCTTTTATTTAATTCATATTATCTTTTATAATTAAATTATTTAGACAGGCAATGAAGCTAGTGTTGACCGTCTAATGAAACAAATCACAGGATTTATGTCTGAAATTTCAGATGAATTCAAGGTGATTGTTGTTGACGCGATACGTTCTTTATGTCTTAAATTTCCATCAAAACAAGTAGTAATGCTCAGCTTCTTGTCTGGAGTATTGAGGGATGAGGGTGGTTATGAGTTTAAACGAGCTGTAGTTGAAGCTATATTTGATTTGGTTAAATTCATTCCAGAATCAAAAGAAGCTGGTAAATCTTTTTAAAAATCTAATATCATTCACATATATGTAAATTAGAAATTAATTCTCTTCCTTTTTTTTTACTTAGCTTTGGCTCATTTGTGTGAATTCATTGAAGATTGTGAATTCACCAAACTTTCCGTACGAGTTCTTCACTTGCTCGGTGTTGAAGGACCAAAGACACCTACTCCTACAAAATATATCCGTTATATATATAATCGTGTTATATTAGAGAATTCTATTGTAAGAGCCGCTGCTGTTAGTGCACTTGCTAAATTTGGTGTAAGTGCTGAAGATCCAGAAGTTAAAAAGAGTATCAAGGTGTTGCTCACGAGGTGAGATTATTAAAAGAAAAAAAAAAAAAAATTTATAAAATTATTTAATTTCGGTCTTTTTGATTATTTATAGGTGTTTGGATGACAATGACGATGAAGTTCGAGACAGAGCTATATTATATTTGAAACTTATAGATGATAACGAAAGCGCTGAAAAATATGTCAAAGATGGTTAGTCGCATAATTTGTTTTTTGAAGTATTGTATTCACTAATTTAATTAAGCTTGATCCTTTTTCGTTAATATTTTATTTTATTCATTAGATTCTACATATTCACTTGCTGCACTTGAAAGACAACTTGTACAATATGTTAGTAATCCAGAATCATCAGAAAAACCATTTGATCTTTCTGACATACCAAAGATTACTAAAGCGCAAGCTGAAGCCGAGAATTTGAAACCCAGAAGCTTTGACCTTGCGTCCACGCAAACCATTGGAACTTCATCTTCAGCTGTTGGTTCAATAAATTCAAATATTGTTTCTACAAGTAGAGATGCTACACCTACTCCGGGAGTAGATCAACAGCAAGTTTATTCTCAGCAGCTTGAACAAATTCCAGAGATTGCTGCATTTGGACCTTTATTCAAGAGCAGTATCAAACCTGTTGAACTCACAGAAAGTGAAACAGAATATGTTGTCAGTTGCGTTAAGCATATGTTTAAAGAAAATATGGTATTCCAGGTATTTATATGAAATAATATTTATGTGAATTTATTATATATAATAAAAAAAAAAATCTAATAAATTTCTTAAATTTCTTTAATAAAATTTTTTATTTCAATAGTTTATTGTTACTAATACGTTGAATGATCAGTTATTGGAAAATGTTACTGTTGTAATGCAACCAGAATCAGATGAAGGTACTTTGGTGGAGGAGTTTGTAATTCCGGCAACAAAATTGCCATATGATCAACCTAGTTCTATATATGTTGCATTTAAGAGAACAAATCCCGAAGAATATACATTAGGTAGTTTCTCCAACACTCTAAAGTTTTTAGTTAAAGATTGTGATCCATCTACTGGAGAAGCTGATGAAGGAGAAGGTTATGAGGATGAATATCTGGTATGAACAAACCATTTTTCTTTTAACAATTAATGATTTACAAAAAATTTTTTTTTTAACTAATTTATGAAATTGATTAGGTTGAAGATATTGAGATAGTTACCAGTGATTATGTTTTTCCAACTTATATAAGTGACTTCTCAAGTGCATGGGATAGTGTGGGAGAGGAAGGTCAAGTAGTAGAAACATTTGCTCTAACTGCATCAAAGAGTTTGAAAGGTATGTGTTACATTATTTTATTAGGAATATGAATTGTCTTTTTTTGTAAATACAATTGATATTAAGTATAGACTTTAATTTAATTATCTAAACTAAAAAAAATTGATTTTTTTTTGTTTATAGATTCTTGTACAACTTTAATTGAACTTCTTGGAATGAGTCCAGTTGAAAACAGTGGAACACCAACATCATCCAGTGTACACACTTTAATGCTTTCTGGAACATTTTTGGGTGGTATAAAAGTACTGGCAAAGAATCGAATGACGTTTGCTCCTAGTACGGGAGTTACGATGGAGTTATCTGTCCGATCCCCAAGTGAAGAAATTAGTCGTATTGTTATTGGAGCTGTTGTATAGATTATGTGAAATTATTACAAAATGTAAAATTAATAATAACAAGATGAAAATTATAGTAGTGTATAATTTTTTTTTACAACCCTATTAATAGATTAAAAATTTTATTTAATCGGATAATAATCTTTGAGTTAAATAATCAAATAACCTTTTTTTGCCCTTTTTTTTTTGTCCAATATTCGTCTAGCTTAATGTTGATACAACTAGCCAAAGTCACGTGATACATAATTTGATCTCGTTGTTTAAAGTGTTAATTGACAACTTGACATTTCAAATTGGAAAAGTATGGTTCCTACCAGTCTTAATAGACCTATATGTTCGTATCATAAACATATCAAGATGAACTCAAGATTATACTAATAACTCGAACCGAGTCATCTTGGTTACACAATGCAGATTCATTGTCCAGAGCGAAGCGACTAATGAAAAAAAAATCGATCACGTGAATTCTTTGGTCCGCCACGTGATCGCCACCAATGAAATCGCAAATTTTAGTTTTTCGCTCCGGACTTACAACGGTGGTTCCTTTCCTAGTATATACCCAACATAGCGAACATCCCTATTCTATCACAATTTTGCCGATCATTTGTTAATCATTTATTCGAACTTATCACATACCATTATTAGCTTATTTTTTTAAGTTAATTGGCTTAAACAAAAAAAATTTAATATATAACATTATGAAGTAATAGTATATTGATTTTTATAATTTATTAGAAGCAATTTTTTATAATTTTCATATAAAACATTATTATATCAAGTTAATTAGCCTAATTGAAAAATAATATATATTAAAATTTTACTTATAATTTTAAATTATTTTAGAATAATAACATTTTAATTTTATTAAAATTGAATTAATATTAAGAATCTATTTAATTTTCACCACTGGTGAAATTCGAATTTTAATCATCTCTAGTGATTTTAATAATTTTATATTTTATTTTCACCACCAGTAATTTTCATAATGAATTTACTGGTGGTGAAATTCAAATTTTAATCACTACTGGTGATTTTATTAATTTTTAATCTTTGTTTCACCACTGGTGATTTTTACCATAATGTTTTATAATGTAATTATTATACAAATATATGAATTTTAACTAAATAAATATTTGTACTCTACATATATTAAATAAAGGAATGATAATTAATGTAGTGATATTTATCCTAACAAATCCTTTACCATAATGGATATAAATTGGGATTTTTTTATAAATTTTCCCAAAGACACCATTTTACCTACAAATTTTTTTATTGAAAATAATGAAAAAAGTATATTAGAAGATATTATTACACCTTCCAAGTTTCCTGAATACTTTTTTAATGAATTAGAAGAAAATGTATTAGAAAATATTATTATACCTCCTAATTCTCCTGAACACTTGTTTAATGAACTAAAAGAAAAACTTACAGAACTATTTAACGGTTTAAATGACAGCTTAAACTGTTCTTCATATCAATATAATCTTTGTATAGAAGATAGTTTTAATGACTGGACATCAGTTGATACATTTTTGCACAATAACTGCTTAGAAAGAAGCTTTAGATATCAGGTTTTTCATATGATAAAGATGCAAATAATCATTCTATTATCCAACACAAATCATTTTATTGTTCTTCTAGTGGTAATTATGAAGCCTGTAAGATTATTAATCAAGATTTGCATTGTTCACGCAATTCTAGCAAAAACAATTGTGAATAGTATTGTAATTTTTCATTACCAAAGACAGAAAATAAAATAAAGTGTATAACATTAGTAGATATATACAATCATGAATTAAATCCTATATAAATAGTACATTTATTTTAATACTAGATATCGACATTTTAATAATGAGATGATATAAGATTTAAAGTTTTTTACAGACTGCAAAGTGGCATCTATTATACAATTAGAAATTTTTAAAAAAAAACATCCACAACATGTATTCCATAAATAGGATGTTTATAACTTAATATACCATTTATGTAAAAATGAAAATAAAGAAAATTCTGATACAAGTTCATTACTTAACAATTTTTTTGAAAAAATAATTCAAGATTCAGGTTAGAAGGTATTTGTTCGACATTCAGGTAATAAACGTCATTTGTCTGGTATTTTCTGAATATCCCTCCTAACAGGATTTATACCAATGACAGTCAGCAGTCATTTCAGATCACTTGCTAATCATTAATTAAAATAATTTTGTGTAACCATAATTGAATATTCTATCATGTAGCTAAAAAAAGAAATTCTTAATATAACGCTTATACAAATTAAGTAAATTAACAGTTCGTCATATGTATTATAAATTTTCATCATCATTTCCTCTTTAGTAATAATAATTTTTTTTTTTTGCATATATAAGAAAGTTTGTCTTAAAAATGAAGTTTTCCTCCAAATGCAACTTAAAAGTAGATGTAAAATACAATTTAAATGATAAAAATATATGTAATTTTACAAGAAGAAAAAGATTTACTAAGTTGAAAAAGGTAGTTATTTAGGTAGTTTTTGTGTAAACTGCAAAAAGTCAATTTTTATAATAAAAAAAAAAATTTTTGATTTCAATAAAACTTTTAGCAAAAGCTTTTTTTAACCATTAATTATTTTATTTTTAGCCATAATTTGATGAAACAAACAACTTTTATTGAGCTTAGAAGGGTGATTATTATACCAGATTTTTTGTTATTTATAAATTTTGTTAAAATTTTTTAATTAGAATACTAATAAGAATTTTTTTTTTATTAAAATAATATTATTAGGTCTATTTGGATGTTATAAATAATTTTAAATCGCAAAACTAATCAAAATATAATGTTTTTTTGTTTATCTATATTAGATATTTAATGCTTAAATCTTGATATTGTAGTAATCATATGTAGAAATACATTAAGTCAAGTATAGAGTTATTTAAATAATGATGAAAATCTATAACTGATAATGAATGAATTTCCAGAAAGTTATCAATATATGATTAAAGTATTATATCCTAATCAAAGTAGCTAGGTCAAAGCCTATACACCATTCCAATTTAACGCATATATTCAATCCACACAATGTATAGAATCATTTAATGCAATTATCAAAAAAACATTAAATAGTGCAAGTAATCTTTGTGAAATTGGAAATACTATTGATAAAAAATATGAAGATAAACTTTAGTATTGTAAATTAATCAACCTTAAAGCTTATCAAACAACAGTTGGTCTTTTATATTTATTATCCCAATTTTTTTTCAGTATTGATATAGTTCTTAATCACTTTTTAACACCTCTTGTATTATCATGGCAGAAATTTCAAATTTCTTAATCATTCACTTATGAAGGTTGTTTAATATCATCTTTAAATGAGATAACTATTATTTCATTAAAATTAATAGTAACTTCATAATATTTATTATTTATATAAGTTGCATTACTAATTAATAAATCGATCATATAATTCATATTTTCATGTGATTTTTTTTTATATAAATTTTATAGAATTTAGATATTGAAACTACCAGTAATAATTTTATTGAAAACATTATTGATGAACCACAAATAATCTTAAAGTCTCTTTTAAGTGATATTGAAATTTCAAATATTATTAAAATATGGAAAATGAGACACATAAGTGGCTTTTCATGTAAATATAATATAGTAATACTTTTGGATGATGAAACCCAACTTTGTACTTGTTTGGAAATAATTACAAAAGGCATAATTTGCTAACATTTCTGGAAAGTAATATTATATTCAAATTCAGCAAAGTTTCATATTAGTATCATATTTGTTAGATAGTGCTCCTAACAGATCGGTTCAGACCGGATTCAGCTTAAATCTGATCTGATCTGATTTTTATTTTAATAGATCTGATCTGATCTGAATCCGATCAGATCTGGTTCAATTTGATCCGAATCTGGTTCAGATTCATTTGAATCCGATTTGAATCTGATCCGAATCTGGTTTGGATCTGGTCCTTGTCCTAAAAAAAGGAAGGGAACGTTAATTACGTTCCTCAAGTAAAAAGAAAAAAAACAAAAAAAAGAAACGAACTTACCATAGTTCGTTCTTTTTTTTGAATCCTGGTCGTTCAGCTTCGTCTCACGTCCAGGTTTCCTAAAAAAAAAAGAAAGGGAACGTTAATTACGTTCTCTTAAGTAAAAATAAAAAAAAACAAAAAAAAGAAATGAACTTACCATAGTTCATTCTTTTTTTGAATCCTAGTCGTTCAGCTTCGTCTCACGTCCAGGTTTCCTAAAAAAAAGAAAGGGAACGTTAATTAGTACGTTCCCTTAAGTAAAAATAAAAAATAAAATAAAAAAAAACGAACTTACCATAGTTCGTTCTCTTAAATCCTGGTCGTTCCTTCGTCTCACGTCCAGGTTTCCTAAAAAAAAAAAGAAAGGGAACGTTAATTACGTTCCCTTAAATAAAAAATAAAAAATAAAAAAAAGGAACGAACTTACCATAGTTCGTTCATTTTTTTTAAATCCTGGTCGTGTCGTTAGGCTTCGTTCGTCCAGACTTCCTACTAAAAAAGAAGGGAACCGTTAATTCTGTCTCTTATACACATCTGAACTGGATGTAATGCCTCAGCCGCAGCTTGTAAAACAAC